CCATAAATCCGATATTAGCCCATATGTCCAATAGCAGTCCATAAATTCCTCTTCAGACTCATGCAGCACATGCAATGGCGCTGAATGCAGGAAGATCACAGCCCAGTGGGTGGGAAGTCTTGTGGATCCAGTGGCGGTGGACGCATCAGCACTGGTGTGGGTCTCCACGTGGCTCCTCAGCTCCAGGACTCTGGCTCCATCGGCGTCTCCATGTGGCTTGGGCTGTGGTTGGTCTTTAGGAGGAGAGCAGGAAGGCCCTCTTCTTCCCTGGAGCGATGGGTGGGTGTGACCTGGGACCCACTACACGACCAGGGCTCCTTATAAATGATAACCTGTTATAGCTATAGGACTTATGCATGAATTCTACATAGACACAACACATAAGTAAATACATGTTACCATACTCATAGTACGCAGACATAAAAACAAGACGCATTAACGAGGGCGAATACGCGATGTGCGTTGTTGTTGCTGCCGGGTGCCATCGATTGTTCCTGTGTCCGAGCCCGTCCTTCCCGTCACTGTGTCCGTCGGTCTAGCACGGGGAGGCCCCCCTTCCTCGCGGCCCCTCTGCTCGACCAAACATCACGCATGTAAACATGGGAGAAAGAGGAGGTGCTCCACTCCCCCAGAGTGTTACAGTCGCAGGAAGCCCCCAGGAGCAGTCTATAGGGCCTATAGGGTCTTTATGGGTCCGAATCAACTCGATGGCAGCATTTGGGGTTTTTTTTTTCCATACAAATACACGGAGGCCTGGTGCTGCAGCGGTTAAGCACTCAGCAGCCAGTGGAAAGGTCAGAGGTTGGAAGCCACCAGAAGCTCCTTGGGTGAAAGCCCTGCCCTCAGAGACCGGCCAGGCCGTTCTACGTGGTCCCCAAGTGGCTGTGAGTCGGCATGCACCCGCGGGCTCACTGCTGCAGCACATAAAGGCTGTTGTCAGGCGCCACCGAGTCGGTGCTGAGCCACAGCGACCAGTGCACGGCAGGACACACGGCCCGGAAGGACACACGGCCCGGCCCGACGCCAGCCTCAGCACCACCCTGATGCAGCCACCAGGCCCTCTCCTCAAGGAGAGGCTTTCCTCGTGTTCGCCGCCCTTCCATTGCACCAGACATGGTATCCTTCTCCAGGGACTGGTCTCTCGGACCACTGGTCCACAGTCTGGAAGACGCGGTTTTGCCAGCCTGGACGCTAAGGAGCGGTCAGTCCGACTTCTTCCAACACAAATCGGTTTGTCCGCGTAGCATTCCACGGTACTGTCAACATTCTTCTCCAACGCTGTAATTCAACCGCCATCCATCTTCTTCGGTCTTCCTTATTCAGTGTCCAACGTCCACGTGCATCAGACGCAGTGGGGAGGACCCTGGCGGGGTCAGGCGCACCTGAGTCCTCAAAGGAACCTCCTTGCTCTTCAATCTTCTACAGATGTCTTTTTAAAATAAATCATTTTACTGGGGGCTCCTACAACTCTTATCACCGTCCATACCTCCATCTCTGCAGAGGTCTTATGCAACACACTTACCGAATGTGATGTCTTTTGCTCTCCTGACGGCTGCTCCCACAGGCAGTGATTGGGGAGCAGCAAGACAAAGTCCTTGACAACCTCCACCTTTTCTCCGTTGATCACGATGCTCCCTACCAGCCCACCTGTGAGGATTTCCGTCTTCCTGCCACGAAGTCAGTCCTCATCCACACTGCAGGTGGCAGTCCTTGATCTTCATCAGCAAGTGCCTCCGGTCCTCCTCACCTGCAACTGGAGTGCACACAGATAGCGCATAGAAGACCAGGTAAAAGTTATCCATACGTGAAAAGAGAAAACAAATTAAACCTGTGAAATGAGGACAAACCCATGATCTAATAGTAGAAAACAGAGAATAAAACACACGTGATGTGAACGAGGAAGGCGCACACTGTATACAGATGGCATCCTAAATTGCATCCAAGTGGAACATGTAAACGGACAGGTACAAAGTACGTCCCTCATGTACAAGCAGGAACCACAATCACAAACACAACATGTAAATGCACGTGAATGACAGGTGAGTGGAAACATCGGCCACAGCCGCGTTCTGTGACTGTCACCAAAGTGCTTCCTCTATTTTTCCAATTTTCTGCAGGTTTGAGCATTTTCTATGTGAAACGTGGGGACCACCACAGGCAGAGTCTCTGGGAGACCTGGGGGGTAAGAGGAGGACAAGTGGGGGGCAGGGAGGGGGCAGCGGGGCTTTTGGGTCATCGGCAGACCCCAGACACCTGCTTTCCTTCCTACCGTCTTTCCTACCAGGCTCCTTTTCTCTCCCAAAGCAGGAGGCGATGGGTTTTTCCTCCAAGTTGAGTTCCCGGATCAGGAGGGACAGGTGCTTCACAGGGCCCGCACCACAAAGTGACCCTCAAACAGCTCCCAGGGCCACGAAGGACCTAGAGAGGGTGAGAAGGGACTGCCTCTGCAGTGGGGCACAGCGTCCCCAGCACTGCCCCGCCCCCCTTGGCAAGCAGGGATGCAAGAACTGAAGGGACCGGCAGGAGGCGGAGCAAGACTTTGTGCCAGCTGGGCTGTCACTTCAGGGTGAGCTCTGAGGACCCTGTGCCCTCCCCTCCCCCTCCCGGACGCTCTGTGCCCTCCCCTCCCCCTCCAGGACGCACGGAGTGGCTGGGAAGGGGGGCCGGGGGCCCAGGGGTTAATGGCTGTGGCAGGGGGCCGGGTGTGGGATGGGGTCAGGTGTCCCTCAGGAAAGAGGACAGGCACATGGGCTGCGCTATTCCGGGGTTCTGATGGTGGTTTATTTATAGCGCTGGGGGGCCGGCCCTCCCCACATTGGCAGCCGTGCTGCAATGTCATCCTCGGCCTCTGCGGGCACTAGTGCCGCTGCCTGCCGTGGGCGGACAGAGGGCCCAGATCTCCGCGGCGGCGGCAGCGGGGACCCCGGAGTGAGGGGAGGGGCTGGCATGGGCAGCACCATGGAGCCGCCCGGGGGTGGCTACCTCCACCTGGCCGCGGTCACCTCCCCGGTGGGCACAGCGCGCCTGCTGCAGCTGGCCTTCGGCTGCACCACTTTCAGCCTGGTGGTTCACAGGGGCGGCTTCGCGGGCGTCCAGGGCACCTTCTGCCTGGCCGCCTGGGGCTTCTGCTTTGCGCTCTCGGGCCTGGTGGTGGCCTGCGAGTTCACGCACCTGCACGGCTGCCTGCGCCTGTCCTGGGGCAACTTCACTGCCGCCTTCGCCATGCTGGCCACGCTGCTGACCGCCACGGCCGCAGTCATCTACCCGCTGTACTTCACCCGGCTGCAGTGCCCACCTGAGCCCGCTGGCTGCACGGCCCGGGACTTCCGTCTGGCCGCCAGCGTCTTCGCCAGCCTCCTCTTCCTGACGTATGCCGCTGAGGTGGCCTTGACCCGAGCCCGGCCGGGCCAGGTGGCCAGCTACATGGCCACGGTGTCCGGCCTTCTCAAGATCGTCCAGGCCTTTGTGGCCTGCATCATCTTCGGGGCACTGGTCTACGACAGCCACTACGGGCGCTACGCGGCCACCCAGTGGTGTGTGGCCGTCTACAGCCTGTGCTTCCTGGTCACGGTGGCCGTGGTGGCCCTGAGCGTGATGGGCCACACGGGCGGCCTGGGCTGCCCCTTCGACCGTCTGGTGGTGGTGTACACCTTTGTGGCGGTGCTGCTGTACCTCAGCGCCGCTGTCATCTGGCCTGTCTTCTGCTTCGACCCCAAGTACGGCGAACCCTGGCGGCCAGCGGCTTGTCCGCGTGGCCGCTGCCCCTGGGACAGCCAGCTGGTGGTGGCCATCTTCACCTACGTGAACCTGCTCCTCTACACCGCCGACCTGGCCTACTCCCAGAGAATCCGCTTCGTGCCCACGCTGTAGCTGGGGCCGGCGTCCAGGCGGTAGGGTGGTGAGGTTGGGCACATGGGGGGACCAGGAGGTGCCAGGGAGACGGAAGAGACGCCCCAGTGGGCAGGCCGTTGCTGAGGCCTCTTGGACTTCTGACAACCTCCAGGGGCTTGGCTGGAGAAGGGACTCCGAGGAGGGACACCTGCGCAGGACAGAGGAGGGCAGAGACGGGGCAGAAGGGCTGGAGGCTGGAAACAGGGAGATGGGAGGGGGCTCAGGCAGCTCTAGTTCTCGCTCGGTTTCTCTGGGTCCCCTTCTCTGCCTCCTAGTCCCCACTTCTGTCTCTGTCCTGGGACCTTTCTCCCTTCTCCCCCTCCCTCTCTCCTTCCCTTGCCTGGTGTCTCTCTCTCACTTCCTCTTCTCCACTCCCCACCACCTTCTGCCTCCCACTCTCCCCACCTCTCTCTCTCTCTCTTCCCCCACTTCCGGCCCCTCCCTGCACTAGGATGGGCTGTTCTGACACTCAGGAACTTGGAAGCCGCTGGTCCCCTGGCCCACCATGCAGACTGGGACACTGAGGCCAGAGGACTTAGGAGCGTGCCAGTCAGGGTTTGGTGACCACAAAGGCACGGTTCCCAGAGGCAGGGTGGGGCTGGGAGGGCCAGGCCGCAGTGAGGCTGGGCGCCAACAGGAGAGCTCATGGTCACCAGGACTGGGAGGACGCAGCCAGCACAGAGAAGGTGGCCAGCCTCGCTGCCTGCCCCTGCACGCCACTGCACCAGACCGAAGTGCCAACACCACACCAAGACTACTGCGGGGCAGGACACGTCGTCCACCTAGAACCTTCTCCACAGCCAGAAAGCCTAGGCCAGACCCAGGGTCCCCCAGGGACAGCAAGCCTGGGCTCTGGGCTCCCACATGCCCAATACTCTGTGACTACCAGTGCTACTGGCCATCACCCCCCACAGGCAGCTCCTTGTGCACCAGACAGACAGACAACACGAGGCTGAGTTGCCCCAGCCCTGCACCTGTGGGCAGCGGCCACAGCAGCCCTCGACTCTCAGAATGGGCCCCAGACCCTCAGACAGGAAATAAACACCAATGTTGATTTGCACCTGAGCTGGTCCAGACGTCTGTCCTCAGCGCCAGTGGGCTCAGATTCAGCCCTGAGGAGGGGCGGTGCCAGGGTGGGCGGGCAGGCGGCGTGGTGAGGGGAAGGATGGAGGCTGTGGACAGCACTGATGCAGCCTCAGAGGAAAGGGCCAGCATGCCCCACCCTCATCAGGACCAGCCCAACGGCCATCTCCGAAAGTGCTGACCTCAGGTAGAGGGAGACGGGCCAGTGCCAGCCCATCCTCCTGCCCAGGGGCTCAGTGCCCAGCCTCCTGCCACGGTCCCCAGACCACGACCCCAGCCTCTTTACAGCGGGGCTCCAAAGAGGCCATGTGGTGGCCACACAGAACGTGAGGCCAGGAGGCCCAGTGGAAGCTGGAGACCATTTGGGTGTCCTGCCCTCTGCCCTCTACTGGGTGTGTGGGGAGGGTGGGGGTGGGACACACACACACACACACACACACACACACACACACACACACGCTCCAGGCAGTTGCTCAGTCTGCAGTTCTCCCAAAGGGTCTCCATGGCTGAGACACAGGGCAGGGGACCATGGAGCAGGAGGCCACTTCTTTCAACCTCCCTGGGGACTGGACGTCCTCTCTGGAGGGATCCCAGCCCTCTCCCCTCTTTTCCAGACACTCTCTGGAGCAAGCTTTCAGTGGCCAGCGATCCCCATACCCTAAGACCCAAAGGCCCCAGGTGGGTAGGGGAAGAGGGGAGGGGACCAGGGCTCTGGTCAGTGAGGCCCGAAGGCCTGTGGTCAGCTCAGCCGTGGACCAGAGGAAGGAACAGCCTGTCTGTTCTTGCTGTGGTGAGAAAATTGCCAACAAAACAAACCAAGCGGTCTCCACGTGCCGTCTCCCTGTGGCCCAGCCACTCCCTCCCGAGGGGTCCTGTGTGAACTTGTTTGTATGTCACCAGTTACAGCCTGGAGGGATGTCTGCTGAAGCTATGCTCAGGGGCTGCGGTCTGTGGGTTTGGATCGGGGCTTTCCTCTGAGCTGGGAGCTTTGGACACATTTCTCGGAGTATCCCTGGCCCCCACCCTGGGGAGGTGAGGACATCTGCAGGGACCAGAGGTGGAGGCAGGGTCGTGGGGTGTAACAAGAGGTCAGTAAGCAGCAGGGTGGTGGCGCAATGATGCTGTGGTGGCCATGTTGGGGGCGATGAGGGGGACAGGGTGTGGGCCCTCCGAACCCTGGTCTGTGTCTGTGGCAGAAACACCCAGTCTTCCCCCAGCTGGCTGCACAGCACCTCCCTGGTCCTTGGAGCTACAGACAGAAACGAGAAAACACCCACCTCTGGCTGGCTGTGATCCCAAATGCCTCGCGTCTTAGTCTTCACCCCACTGCTGGCTGGGACCCCAGACTGCCCTTCGGCCCCATGCAGACTCTACACCATGAGTCCTCCTGCTCCCCCTGGGCCGAGGTGGGGGGACTAGATGGAGCATGAAGAGAGGTCAGGGGACATATGTGGGGCCTCCTCTGGACTTGGCGGGAGGGGCGGGAATAGGGGTACTGATGGCAGGGCCTGGAGACCACAGCCCTTCCACATGGGCACCAGGCACCTGGCGGTCACAGAGAGACTCCCCCCAGGAATTGGGCCCAGGTCAGAGGGAGCAGCCATGTGCCCTGTCAGTGGTTTCCCCCTGCCCACTCTGTGCCGGAGGCCTGGGTCAGCTCCTCCCATAAACCTTTTAATTCCAGAAAAAGGAGGCCTGTTGGCACAGTGGGGACAGTGTTGGGGGGCTGAAAAGGGCCTCCCCATTTTATCCTGGGTGGTGGGCTCTAGTACCAAAGGGCTTAATTGCTGGGGGTGGGCACTGAGGTTTGGTTTTGTTTTTTGAAAGTGAGGAATCAGGAGGTTTGAGAAGCTGTGGTTGCCATCCGGACAACCCTGAGGAGTAGAGTAGTCAGTTCTGGAGGAGCACTCCAGAGTCGAGAGTTTTGAGTTCAGGGGAACCGGAGGAGCCGGGTGGCACTGTGGTGAAGCAGTCCCCTGCATCCTGAGCGGCTGGGGGTGGAATAAAGTATCACCTTGGATGAACACCCCCCGTGGCCCCCCATCCCTGCCCCCGAGGGTGTTTCTACTGTCTTATCTTCTGGGTTGTCTGTGTGACTGGTTCAGGAAAGAACGCAGTGAGTCTACAGGAGTGAGTGGGGCACAACCCGAGGCCCGAGCCGCTGTCACCAGCTACATTCCAAGCTTAAATGACCAGTCAGGCCACTGTCCCCCCAAACCCTCTGGGCGCCTTTACTCTGCCCTATGGGCTCTCGGAGCGGCACCTCGATCGGGCCACGGGCACAGAGACCGCCTTGGTGCGCA